CCCACTCGCTCATGTCACACAATGCAAATCCTCGGGCTACGAGAAATCGCCGGACAATTTGTTCGTCGCTGGCGAAGCGTCTCTACCTTCCACGTAGAATGGAAGCTGGAGACTTTGCAACCCCCCCCCCCCCCCCCCCCGTTTGGAATAGGAACTTGTTATTCGCAAAAAACATTTTTAAGTTTGACAATGTTTATGGAAAAATAGTATCAACAAATATATCTTAAAATAATTTTTTTATGAAATATATTCCGTGATTAGTCTAACATAACTTATTACATATTATAAGCATCAATATTTTTCATATGTTCAGTCAAATTTAAAAGAATTTGATCTCTCAAAAAAACGAGATGTATGTATATTCTCTCAGGTTTGGCATGGAGGGAGTTACCTCGGTACCTGGCTACCTGCAACTGCAGTTCAGACATAATCAGAGCATCGTTCCTTCCCAAATTATTCTGCATGCCAACAGCTCACAGCATTGTCGTTCCTTCCCGAATTATTCCATCTTCATGCATCCAGATAACTAGTCCGTCCTGTGTTGCACTGACTTCGTTCCTCCTACTGTACATATGTCCTGTTCCTACCAGTGACGATTATTCGAACAGATTACATGCATGTAGACAAATTACAGTTCATCACAGCATGCAGCAGGTTCATCAAGGATAGCTAGAGACAAGGTTCCCTTTTCCCATATTCTCTCCTGCCACTGCCACCCCATTCGTGTGCGTGATGAGCTCCAGTTTTATATGGTCTGTTTGTCCCCTTGACCCGTGGACACACGCGCACACATTGGTTAGTTCTGAGCTTTTCGCGCGATTTTCATGCATCAGTGTGTGTATGCATCTGAACATGTGATCAGATTACAACGAAAACTAGCCGCTAAGCCGGCCATTAAGTTTGACCATACAGTTTAATGCATGTCGTCATGATAACAGGAACTTCGTCTATAGTAATTGTGATTCAACAAGATCTAGTAGCCCGGCTGGTCAATAGTCATGTATCGCAAGTAAGGGGGTTTGTGGGCCATTGCGTGTCTGTAGTTTGTGTGGGTGAATTAATCTATGTATATAGTAGTTTTTTTTTCCTTGGGAAATTCTAGGGATGTAGTACGTATAGTTAACAGATTCAATGTGTGCTGCTTGCTTGCTGGTCGGCAGTTCTTCGTGGATGATGTTGGAAAATTTTCTCTCCAGCATGTACATATATACATGCATGTGTGTCGAGTCTCTAGCTTTCTTTTTGGCATCAGTTGTGCTAGCAGCATGGTTTCCTCATAAACTTCTGTGCATACAATACTTGAACATGAGTCCACACACATTTTTTGATGGAACAAATATAAGGAAATGCTCTACTCAGGGAGTCCGACACTCTTGACGTGCCCTTACTAGGTCTGCGGAGCCCAATACGGAGCTTGCTCCTGGCTTCTCCATAAAAAAATATCGATTCCCCACTCCTCCCCGTCCCGGCCTTATTTCACCGTGAGCATGTGTCTTCCCTAGCCAACTCCACCGTGCCGCCCGCCCGCCGCTCACCTTCCTAGTGCGGGGGACGCTCGCCGTGGGTAGCGCAGTCGCCCGGCGCTTTCGCCTCCAGCGGCGGGGACCGCACCCGCCTGCCCTGTCGCCTGGAGCTACGCAACCACTCGTCTGGCCACATAGCCGCTCGCCGGGGCTACACAGCCGCCCGCCCGCTCGCATCGCCCCCCCCCCCTCCCCCGCGCCACTCTGTGGCATCGAGCTCCACGTCAACGACCGTCCATTCGTCCAAGCAGCAAGTAGATGGCACATTGAAAGTGCATGTTGCAAGAGAATGTTTCAAGTGTTTCAGAGGTATGTTGCAAGCGTTGTATAACGATGTTGCAAAAGTAGATCAGGATATGTTGCACATGTTGTAATGGCTATACACGTATGTTTAAAGTGTATGTTCCAAATGTTTCATCTGTTGCAGACGTATGTTGCAAGTGTTTTATTTGGATGTTGCAAAAGTAGATCTGAATATTGTATATACATGCATGTTGTAAGCATATGTTTCAAGTGTTTCAGGTGTTTCATACGTATGTTGCAAGTGTTTCATCCAGATGTTGCATATGTTTTGAAATTGTTTTCAAGTGTGTTCAGGCGTTTTCGCAAGTGTCTTAGACGCTTGTTTCAAGTGTTTCATCTGTCTTCTTTTGTATGTTGCAATTGTTGTATTTAGATGTTCCAAAAGTAGATCGGGTGTTGCATATGGGACGCGCGTGGGAAGCGGCTAGCGGCATGGGCGACGTTCGGGGTGGCGTGGCGACGTCCAGGGTGGCACGGGCTTGCTGTTGGGGCGCTCGCTTGCTAGCCCGACGCGCTAGGGCGCCTGCTCACTCGCTTTGCGGGCACCATCCAGACGCTAGCGTCCCGGATCGGATGTCTGGGCGCTAGCAAGTCCCCAAATATAATGGCAGAACAAGAGGATGAAAAACTTAGCAGATCTATTTTCTGCCAATATAAACGAACTGCATGCAACCAACAGTCTTACCGACATTTTTTTTTGAGGGAACAGTCTTACACACATGCACACTACAACTCCATCGGCCGGGGTCGTCGTCGCTGCAGCGAACATTGTACCCCAACAACACGGCGATGCATCTGGGCCGTGCAATGCGTGAATGCATGGCGAATTTGGCGATACTACAGGTATCGCGATCCCGTGTGGATCCATAACGTGTTCTTAGCGTAGATGCCCGTGCCACGCTTGATTAACACAGTCAATCTGCTCGTGTACCTCGATCGAGATCGCTGATTTGTTGTACATCGTCTTGATCTTTGTGGAGAGCTAGGGTTTCGTTTCCGCTGACGCACACTGACACAGCCACACAGGCATGGATATACGTATCTTCAGAGCAAAGCAACATTGTAGCTGCTGTTGCTCTCGTTCGCTCCGATCGATGTGTGTTGCTCTCCGTACGATCCGATCGAGGATAAAATTTAACAACCCTTAGCTTAGTGCATGCATCAATAATCGTATTGAGTGAACTCTACTCAAAAGGACTACCTGCATATTAGTAGCATATATATGTATGAGCTCGAGGGATAAATAAAAATATCTTACCAAAGATGGAATCTAGATCAGCAAATCTTTGTTCAACAGATATCTTGGCTCCAGACTAAAGATGGCAACGGGCCCCGGTACCCGATACCCGACAGGTATTTGATCTATTAGGGGGGCGGGGATGGGATCATATCTTTACCCGCGGGCATCTAAATGGGCAAGAATCCATCACCGACGGGTATAACGGGTACGGGAACGTTCCCTATTTACCCGTCCCCATTACCCGTTGGAGAACCCGACTATTTGAGCTGTCATGCAAGTATTAGGCCCAAAGAAGCTCAACATAGGTATTTTGGCCCAAATCTGAACAATCATATATATACTTTGTATGTTCTAGGAACCCTAGTTTAATTTTTTTCTCACCATCTCTGCCAGCAGCACAAGCACGCCTGCCTCACGAGCGCTCATGCCCCTCGCTTCCTCAGTTCGGTCTCTCTGCCACCTTTGCTCGTCCTCCTCGCAACCTCGCTCCTTCTCGGCATCTCCGAGACTCCGACACTTATACCCGGGTGAAGAAGAAACGTCTCCGATTGCAAAGCTGCGACCCCAAGTGTCCTTGTTTATCGGGTATGCAGTACCCGTCGGGTATCTGTTACCCGACCGATGCCCGACGGGTACGGGGATGGGCAAGAATCTATACCCGAGACAGTTAACAGGGACGGGGATGGGATGAATTCTCCGTAGCGGGGAAGAGAACGTTCCGGCGATACCCGACGGGTACATCCCCATTGCCATCCATACTCCAGACCCTCTTTCACATGCTTATTCAAAAAATAAAATAAAAAGAGGACCTACTCTCTTCTAGGCCAGTCTAGTGAAGATCAAATAAGATTTTCATAACTTTAAAACCTTCATAGTTAAAGATAGGTCACAAAATTGGTTTTAGGAGGATATGGTTAGGAGGTTCAACCCTGCGGGGTCAATATCTTAGCTTGTATTGCACGTCACAAACAAGACACTGTAGGAGAAGCTAGTCTTGTCAACACGGCTATGGCTCACGAGAGGCCGAAACGGGTCATGAGAGAAGGATAAGGCTCACATCAGGCAGAAAACGGATTGCATCGGGCCGAGAACGGGTCACGAGAGGCAAAAACAGGTCACGTCAGGCCAAAAACGAGTAACGAGAGGCAGAAACGGATCATGGGAGAAGGATAAGGCTCACATCGGGCTAAAAATGTCTCACGCAAGGTGAAACGGTTCACATCGGGTCGAGAACAGGTAACGAGAGGAGAAACGGCTCACGTTGGGCCAGAAACGGGTAACGGGAGGCGAAAACGGCAAGGCCGGGTCAAGCCATGGGTGAAAAATGCCAAGTCGGTCTGGAAACAGATCTGGGAGAAAACTCAGGAAAACATGCAAAAAAATGGTTGAAAACAGGCCAAAACGGTAAAAATAAATTTGGTCAAAGCAACCCCAAATATTAGTCAAAATTTTTTTTTACCATGACTTAGGCTCCCACGATTTGGTCAAACTTGACTCTCCAAGAAAGTTAAAATAACTTATAATTTACAATGGAGAAAGTATTTTTTTTAAATAGGGTTTGGGTTTATGGTTTTGGGTTGCGCCAAAATAATATGTTACGTCGGGTCGCAACTTGCAACCGACGGTGCAGATGCAGCTGTTCAGTCAGTTCTTATGCAAACCAATTGTACAAATAGTTATGCCGTCCGTGGCTTTACCTGCCTACAGACACTGATAAGCTCTAGTCGATCCAAAAACCAACTGTACTAGACTATTGTAGTGTATATTAGATACATGATACAGAAAAATAAAACTCCAACCTGGTTACATATAGAACTGATCCATACTACAAAATCAAGTCCTTACATCGCGTGCTCATTCACATTCTGGAATATATAGTTGTCGGGCTACCTAAATATATAAAAATGAACCATGACAAACACTTAGCTATTCACCTATTCCAGATCCATATTGTTGAATTGTGTCCCATAAGCGAAGGCGAGTATAGCAAATGCAAGTATGGTTATGAAAAAGACTGCAGTGGATTTGCATGGATGAGCTTGTCGTCTAATAAGAACCACTGCTTCCTTTTGACCGTTCTTTGCAGAATTGTCAAATTCTACACTTGGGCATGTCAGATAACCAAAGAAAAGTCCAGAAATGGTTGCCCCAAGATGTGCCCTGCAATTGATTAGAATAAAGGGAAACACTAAAACGACTGAATACATTGGTTTCTGTAGTATTGAATTGCATGGACTGAACCACCGACCAATTTAACCTAAAAGCTAACGTGATGGAAAGGGTGGGCAAATTCACTTTATATTTCAGCACTCCCCTCACATGGACAGTCATCAGGGCTCACCGCCTCAGGTGTGGAATAGAAGTGAGCAACAATCATTTTATTTAATTATGGTAACCAGGATTTGACAGTTAGGAAAAAGACAACATAAGCACTACAACATTTGGTGTAATATAGTTCTGATTATTTCAGGTCCTGTGCTACCTAAGATTGTATGACTGATCCTTATGTCAATTTATTTACATACCCAGAATTGTTAAAAACTACAAGGCTCAAAATACCCTAATCTTTAACCCATTTTCATAATTCAGGCATTTGGGTTTGACTATTTAGCCTTCCAATTAGCAAACACTAAGAAACATGACAACACAAAATAGAAAATTACATCAAAGATTTTAGTAAATTTTATGAACAACCCGAAAAGTGAAAGGCAATAACTTTATCTGTGTTGTTCAATTTTTTGGTCAACATAAATGTTAAAGTATATACTAGTTCCGATGGCAATAGTTTTGTCCAGATTAGTTAACAGTATTTGTATGTCATCATATAGGAGGACTCAATAAAATATAAAGATTTTCTTACTGCACAATTATTCTCAGACTTATTAGGACAGATTAAAGTTTTAGAGATGTTCTTTGATCATAAAAATGGCCTTAGAAGAACTTATAATCTGTTTTAAGAAGAAGACTGACATCACGTCATTACATTACCAGTTGTCAATTCTCCCAAAAATGCTCAATAAGAAGCTCAAAGCTGCAGCTATCACAGCCTGCCAGAACATACTTTCTGAAACGTCCTTGTCAATGACTTGCTTGTTTTGACTCTGATACACCAGCCACGCTCCAATTAAAGAAAATACTGGGCTCTGTTTTGAGTTTCAGAAAGGAACATTAATGTTTACATCCTGTGTATATTTATCCAGTGCCACGAACTTGAAACCAAATGTACAGTCTACGTAGTTGTTTAAAATTTCATCCAAATTTTACAATGTCTACGTATCATTGTGTAGACGGACACAAGTTTGGGACATAAACAAGAAGGTATATTCTTTTAAGGTAGCAACATGCTATACCACTATAACCATTTTAACATTTACCTAAAACCAAAGCAAGTTACTAAGTTACGCAATGAAGTAAAAAACCATATGTAAGTGACCTTATCTCCAAAAAGAAAACTTTGAGTTCAAAGTGCTAATGATACAATAAAATACTGGATAGAAAATTTAAGCTAATTTAGGTTTTCCTTTTCCTTCTGTAAATTGTATCCACTATAAATTATGTAATCTATTGCTTTCTAGAAAAAATGGTAATGTAATTATACATTATTTTTCTTTACTACTTTTTGCTCGAAAGAGAAAATATTAGATTAGAGTGATGAATGAAAATAATGGCCCCGTTCGCTGGTCTGAAACTTGGCTGAAACTGGCTGGTTTTGTGAGAGAGAAACACTGTAGCGGCTGATTGATGAATAGTGTTCTGTGAGGGTGTTCAGCCGGCTGGTAAAACCAGCGAACACGCCCAATAAAGCAAGTATATGGCCATTCTTTTGATCTAATATGAATATATGATATCATTGAGGCAGGCAACTTACTGTGCCACAAACGGTTATCTCAGGAGTGTGAACAAAACTGCTCAAATTACCACTGATTCCTCCAAGTATGTATATCAGAAAAAATGTCATTTGACCATATGCCCGGCATACTCGAGGTCCAAATATAAGCAACGCCCAACAACCAAGGGCTATATGTAAGAAACCAGAGTGCTGCAGATGTCAAATTACAGAAACATTTCAGATAAGCTGAGTGGGTTACAGGTCTCGCTAAATGACAGAATATAGCCAGTGTTTAGAAAACTAAGATCCACCTATATACTTGTATATTAATTGATATGATCATGATGTGCAACCTTTCTGTCATTAGTTGTGCATAGATTTGATTCTTTCACATAAACATGCAGCTGACTAGTTCTACAGGGAGTAAATATGTAAATGCATTTCCTAGTTCATAAGCAGTATAGGACCAACATTGTGAGTTGTACTGACAGTATACCTGCTTATGGTTGGGTTATATGGCTCAAGTGCTAGAATGAATAGTTCTAGTTGTTGTATTCTATAAAAAATAGTGTTAGAAAAGGAAAGCTACAAGACCATTTTACAGTAGCTTGGCGCTGGAAACAGATTTGCACAGAAAGCTTAACTCCTGACTCATTACTAAAACATGGTTGCCTTACTTGAATAAATAAATGGATAAATAACATTTAAAGATATAGATATTAGAAAAAGCCCTGTTAAACTTGTTTTCTAGTAAAGGGCTAATCCATTAGTTGACATCGCATTGGCATTGTAGTAGCTAAGCATTTTGTTTATATGGTGTACTGGATAGCAGTGCAAGCATTGAATCACAAAATAAGACAAAACGTGTGTATTACTTGTTTTGTTTTTTTTTTTCCAACAAATTCGAGCAAATCTGAAGCTCTATGCTTACTAACATAGAATAAGTTTGACCTGAGCTACTTTTGCACAGAAGATTTAAGGAAAGGACCGCTGTAGCACAGTAGTTAACCATAAAAATTAACCTTGCACCTTATATTGTTTAGAGCGTGGGATAGCTTTTGCCTTTCTAAAACTAATAGATCGCAAACCACCTTGTCAAAAAAAAAAAAGATCGCAAACCACAATAACAATGTAAGCCAACAGAATTTTGTGAAACTTTATCTAGCATAGAGGGAGAAGTAATACCAGGCACATTGGTGTTAGTAGTCTCCACCACTCCCCTGAAAGTATTAAGTTGTTTATCTTGGCACCATACAACAAAGGGAGAGACAAATATTCATTTTCAGAATTTTTTACTGGACTTGCTATTTCGAATAACAGAACTGCAATATTAATACCAGCCAATAAGTTTCTGCATTTTTACAAAATTCAAAAGTTAGCTAACAAAATGTGGCGATATGAAAATATTTATAACTTCTGCTGAAGTGTGCAAAAGGACAAGGACTACATGCATGTTGGACTAGAAGGATCTTAAGAGGTTAACAAAACCAACGCGAATAAGATGGTGTGTTGAACAGTGTAGTTTGATCTTTTGAACTGAGCGTTTCCCCCAGTTTTGTTGTCCCAGTTTTATGGGCATTGCAAATTGTTATTTTTTATTAATATCTCAATTTCAAAAACTCACCCAAATTTGTAGGACAATGTCAATCCTAGATAAAAGTTGGGAACCAAGAAATTGCATTTTGAAACCTTTTTAAGGCACAAGCTAGTGAGTTCAAAAACTTTTTTGCTACTCACATACTGGGGGCAAAGTTGTAGCAATGTGACGAATAGAAGGAGCCGTTGATTCACACTTTCCGTACTCTGGGGTCTCCGGTTATGCAATTTTTTTGCCTCTCATGGATGTCTTTTTATCTTTAGAATCGAGGAATAATGTTGAACTCATATGTTTTTTTTCCCTACACAAATGGTTGTGGATTTGGTAGTGCTAGCTATATCTTGTAATAATTGTGGACTAATGCCAGTTTCATGAAGGCTAGAACTTTCTTCTGTTGTCTAAAAAAGGGAAAGCCCACAGTTAACCAAGTTTTGTTTTCCTGAAACCTTGATGTGAGAAATCATTGTTCACATAAAACAGGAGGTGACATATTTATGCATTTCTTGTTCTTCTGATGAATTCCACCTATGTAACACGGATACGCCAGGGAGGTGCCGTATCCCGTATCGGATACGTATCCGATACGGACACGCGTCCGACACGTGATGGATACGTATCTGAAGAGTATCCGATTTTTTATTAATTTCGCGAATATTGAGTACGTCGGCCGATACGTATCTGCCCATTCGATATGGCCCAGCCCAACAAACACTCGCGACTCCTTCCTCTCTCCCTAACGCCCCCGACGCCCGACTCTCGCGCAGCCGCGCGCCGCCTCCAGCGAACACGCGCGGTGATGCCTCGTCCTGCTCGTTCCTCTTCTTCCCCACCCCTCTCTCTCTCTATCTCCGGAGGCCGAGGTGCTCTGAGCTTCGGTGTGTGCATGGGCGGCGGCTACGGCGGGTTCTCGGCCCGGGTGCGTGGATTCAAGCGTCCTTCGGTGGATCTCGCCGCCCGCTACTGGGGCATCTGTCCGCCGTGAGGGTGCCCGCGGCGGCGGCGGCCCTTTCCTTCCTCGACGGCGGCCATGGCGCGGCCTGGCTGCCCGGACGGCGGATCCGGGATCCCCGGCTAAGCGGCTAGCGGCTAGCGGGTTAGCGGTCGCCGGCGACGAGCCTTTGCTTCGCTTCGCCGGCTGACGAGCCTAGCCCTCCGCCTTTGGCATGGCGCGGCAACGCCTCTGTCCCGCGACATGGATCCATGCGGCCGGCGACCTCCCGTGAGTTCATCCCTTCCCGTTCTCGATCTACTATATTTCGCAGTTCATGACTTATTGTTGCTTGATTTCTTTGGTCCGCACTTCCTCTTCCTCTGTCCATTCTCGATCGACTCTGTTTTTGCATTTCTTAATTTCTTCTTGATTTTCTTTGTATGTAAGTGCGGATGATGGCGTCTGGCGTCTCTAAATATGAGTAGATGGCGTCTCCTTTTTCCGTTCTCGATCTACTCGATCTACTCTGCAGCTTGATGTTGTGGAATGTGGATGAGAGTGAAACAAATGAGGAAACAGGGAGTTGATGCGAGCCTGAATGCCATTTATTAATAGTAAAACGAATAATAGAACTTAAGTAGTTAAGTAGACTACAATGTTTTATTGTTATTAGTTTTAATATGCATTATTATCTTTTTAATTTTAAAATAGTAAAACGTATCCGCGTATCGGATTTTTTAGAAAATTGCCGTATCCGCGTATCCGTATCCGTGAGATGATGGTACTAGAATCAATGTATGGCAGTTCTGAATATCACCAAATTTGAAAGGAACTACATGCCCAATATGGCAGTTCCAACTTGTACCTGCAGTGCAAAATATCTGCACCGTGTTGGCTATTGTGGTTGGACAAGAGTGTCAGTGGATTCAATATGCTTCGATACTGAAAGTGGTAAGACATACTTACGTCAAACAGAAACCGGATGCTTGATCATCTGTATGCATGTCCAGGAGACTTTGATAACTCTTGATACCTAAAGTAACATAGTTCTTTTTCATTACTATGTTTTGGTGGCGACCATCCATACAGCTAAGTCAAGTGACTTTACCTGTGTTTCCTCTGTCAATCTGTACCTGCAAAGAGCCTACCCTGTTCTTGAAATTGGCATCCTCATCAGCAATGATCGCATCAACTTCATTTGATGATGATGGACCACTTTTGAGCTTCTTCTGAGGCAAAGAGTATAGCTGCTGAGTGGGATAGAGTTTAGAAAAATAAGATTCCAGTGCCCTCAGCTGATTTCCTTCTTCCCTTTGAAATGGACTAGAAATAATCTCATCGTCTTTGGAGCTGCAACCCTCATCTACATCTTTATTATGTACCTTGACAATAACATACTGTCTTGCCTTTGGTTTTGATATCGACTTAAGTGAACGACAAATGAGATTGTCATCCTTCCCAAAATGACCAAGATGCCCGGTATCGTGATACTTGGCGCTATTAGATCTTAATGACAACCTCTCTGGCGCAACTCTCGTACGTTCCATCTGTTCATAAGATGCCGGTTTCCATTTAACCCCAGCCATCAGATGCCTGAAATTTTAGAAGTATTAGTGTTTGTCAATTATGCAGGAGGCAGGACAGTGCAAGGCAGAAATGCCATGCTCAAGATCGCGTCGCGGACTGCGCAGGCTACAACCAACATCTACATGTACTCAACGCAACGCCGTGGGTGCCTGGGTTGTTGTGGTGTCGCCGGCAGTGGCCGGAGCTCGACAAGACGGTGGCAGCGCAGCATGCATAGATGGAATGCGCAGCGCAGGTGAAGCTACTGTGAAGCTCCAGAAGCCTTACCACAAAGTTGCTGGCGATGGTGAGCATTTAGCGTTGGTGGCAGCTGGTTGGTGAGGATTATTGGCGACCTTGACACCTCTTCAGTTCAGCCCGGTGCTAGGGGCCGCAGCTTGCCGTCCGTCCGGCCCCGACCGGCAGGCGGCGGCGGGCATGGGCATTCGGGATCTGCGGGCAGGGAGAGCAGAGCGCGCGGGGCCAGGGCAGGAATTTGAAGGCTCCTGGACAAGGTCTCCAATCTCCATGGACCATGGGGGTTGGAGTTTAAGCGAGAGGGGATAAGGATGCTGCGGCCGCCCGACCTCCGAATTCGAAGGCCGCCCGACCTTTCTTTTTCTCCACTGAAAACCACCCTTCAAAAGGCTCTCGAATTTCCACCAAATTCTATATAGTATTTTATTGATTTAGCTTCACCCTCTATACCTGCTTCATGCTTATATTTGAAAAAACATGAGTTTCTGTCTTTAAACATTTCAACTACCATGTGACCTTTAAACCTAAAACTTTGGGAAAAAAATGGTATACATATATATTTGAAGTCCAGCGTGTTATAAAATCATAGTCAGCATAAGTTGTATTATATAAAATCATGTTGGTGTGTTTTGGTAGGACTCTTTAAGGTTTCAACTTTGACTTCTCTAATCTTTTAGGTCAAAATTTGTCGGATGTCAACTTTAGACCCCGTTTCCGTTTGGCAGAGAGAATCAGCTCTGGGAGCTCTGCCAAATAATTTTCCAGATAGAAGTGATTCTCTGCTGATTCCGTGAAGTAATTTTCTAAAATGAACTAAGAGGTTAGGAGCTGAGATATGTAGCTTCTCCTGATTCTGTGAAGTGATTCTTCATCGTGATCTTAAGAGTTTATGCTAAAGAATTAAAGAGAATCACTTTCAACCACAGAATCACTTCTCTTAGAGAATCAGCTTCCATAGATAATCAGAATCAGATGAAACTCTACCAAATAGTCCCTTAAAATAGCTCTACCAGAGAAGCACTAACACAGGAGAGGAGCCATTTTTTCGACTATAATGGTGAAACTATCTAAATGGTTTATCTAATTTCTTAGTTGAAAACTTGTCAAACACTAACTCAAGAACAGCTTCATGAGAGAAGCTTCACATCCGTTTTTTTACTACAATGGTAAAACCATTTAAATATAGCTTCTCTGACTCTTTAGACGAAACGGTTGCAAAATAAGCCATGTAAACACACACGCTTAAATTTCTTCTCAATGTGTAACTTCTCATTTAACTCACCACCTGAATCTGACACCAAATGCAAACATACGGATGTCCATGCATTTAGAATTTAAGCTGTTATGCATATTGAGTTACTTAATTTCAGAAATAAATGCATATATTTAATTAACTTACCTATTATAGGATGTGTTTGGGCTAGCCGAGGTTAGTTATTAGCATGAGCTAAAAAATAGTCTAAAATAGGTAGAGTTGGCTAACAAGTAGTTGTACACTTAGGGCCTGTTTGGATCTTTTTCTCTAAACTTTAGAACTAAAGCTCTAAATAGATGGTCTAAAATTAGCTCCAAACTTAGCCCACCTCATATTAGAGCATTAGCCTAAAAAATGAGCTAAAGTGCTCTAAAATTTTTAGAGCTCTAAAGTTTAGAGGAGAGGATCCAAACATGCCTTTAGTAAAAAATTAGACCAATAATAATTAGGCATTCGCATCCAAACAACCCCTTAGAATCCCTTGGTAGGAAAAAAACCATAGTAAAATAATTCTATATGATAGCTTAATACTCCCAACATTCCGAATTATAAGATATTTTGGCTTTATACATATTATGCTGTTATGCACTTAGATATATAGTTATGTATAAATACATAGCAAGAAAAAACAATATATCTAGAAAAGACAAAACATCTTGTAACTTAGAATGAAATGGAGCATAATAATCAAGTTTGTTGAAACAAATGATCGGTATGCTTGATCTAGATAAAGATCACGAAGCCAGTTGCCGGTATATGCGATCGCAACTCGACCATGAAAGATGCGACCAAAACAAACAAAGAGTAGAGGAAAGTGAGGAATTGAAGCACAGCTAAAAGATAGATTGAGGTCTAACCAATCAGCAGCTGAAGCCATCCAACTGGAACAGACTTTGGTAGCTAATCAGGTGAACAAACCTGTCTTTGCATCTACTCCTACCAGCTCAGCTCCTAGTAGCTAGCTAGGTGAAAGCCGCGAAGGAGCGAGTGGCCCATAGGATCCGGATGTTTTCGTCCTTGCTACTAGAACTAGAACTGGGGATGCTGCAACACATGTGTATATGCTGAGTGAGAGGTTTTAGTGGTTGTGGCAGGCCATGGCTCATGGTGAAACGTGTGGTCCTAGAGAAGTGGAGAGCAACTGCACTTCAGTCACACAATCACACCAATGGACGGGGGCGCACCCAAAGATAAAGCCCAATGGCAAACGCCGAACTGATTCTTGTGGGTCAGCCCATGAAGGCGGGACCAAACACCCGTCTTGGAATTTCTGTAGCATGTGCGGACTTGGGTGGTAAGTACTTCTCTTCCTGCAAGAATAGATGCTGACGGGGGGTCTAGGAAACTGACGTTCTTTTTTTTTCTTCTTGGAGAAATGCGCTCTCCGTCCTTGGAAAAATTAATTCCTAGAGCAGTATGAAATAAAATTTTTTATGTTTAACTAAATTTATTAAAAAACACAAATACTTATGAAATAAATAAGCACATTAGAAATATATATTTTATGACGTATTTAATGATATTAATTTGATGTTATAAGACCAACCTTAGTAGAAGTTTCATGACATTAAATAAGTTGACATGATATAGTATAGATAGAGAGAAAGATGATGAAAGTTTCATGAGATGAAATGAGTTTCATGAGGATGAAACTTATCTACAATGTTTTCAACACAAGAGTCTTTTTTATCATCAGTCTTTTTTATCATCAGTCGGTCTATAGGGCCTTTCATTCAACTCTGTGGACTTCGCTAAATCGCGAGCCACCAGCAGAGGCTATGCCCAAACATTGGCCTGACCTAGATCCCAGCTTAAACCTAAGCTAGCCAACTCATGCGCAAGCGAGTTACAAGAACGTGGAACATGGAGAATGGACGAACAAATAAACTGCTCATGGAGGAGATCACGTTTACCTACAAAGAGAGAAACGTTTCTCAGTTTGTCATCGAGATGCTTGGTTTGAAAGTTGGTGACCATACTCGTTTGTTGGTAGTTACAAAGTCTAAGGATTTTGATGATAAAGTGATGGTCGTTGCTCATGCTTTCAAGCAGATTCGTGCCTTTCATTTTGTGAAGAATTTCAAATTCTGTTATGATCAAGCTGATGATTACTGTTTATGTTTTAGCTCAGGAGGATCACCATGATGCATACTATCGTGCTTGGAAAATTGCAGTTGCGTGCTTGGAAAATTGCAGTTGGTAAAGAATGTGTTCAATTTGTCAAGTTAGTAGTATTTTGCTAAGAAAGAACTCTTTCAGCGATTTCTTTGATATTCTTGTAAGGATCAAGGTATGTCTCTTATTTTAGGTTTGCTTTATTTTTGGAATTACAGATGAAGTTAATTTTATTTTATTTTTCTAATCTTGTGTCTTGTATTTTAGATGACCTCACCTTTTGCCATGCTTTCTGTGTGCAATTTTTCCTTTTATGTGTTCTTATTTGTTTCTAAGTAGTAGTTTGCTAGTGTATGCTCCATTTACAGTTGTTGAATATATATAACTTATGCCTATTTCTTTGGTGTAATTTGTATGTAATATAAGTGTAAGTCAAGACTAAAAGGATTGAACTTATAGTATAGGGTACTTTTAGTAGCAACAAGCTTTACTAAATTAAGTTATCGTATTCTCCAAGTTATAAGACAATCTGCTGCTCCCCTCTCTAGTCTTTTTCTGCAACAAGGTTTTCCCATTTTGGTCAGCTCCTTGCTATTCCTATTGAGGTATGGCAATAGACCATCACCTCCTTGTACTAGGTGTACATTTAGATGTGGTAATAGGCCTCTAGTTGTAGTCGCTTACCTCAGTTGTACTTAGTTGGTAAGGTTGATTTTAGTCTTACTTATTTGTATGTAGTGGCTTACCTAGGTTATTGATTTGATTTTCCTATTTTGGTAAGGTTGTTAGTAGATAGTTAGATTTTGTAGATCTATGATTGAATTTTTATATATAGGTAAGGTTGTTAGTATGTAAGGTTTGAAAGGGACCGTGACGTCTAAGAGGGGGGTGAATTAGGCAACTTAAAACTCTAACTGTAAACTATGACCTCTTTTTCTACCCTTAGCAAAACGTATGCAAAAGATAAACTATCTAAATGTGCAACTACGGTTTTGCTAGTATGTTGCTATCTCTACCGCAAAAGGAGTTATGCAACCTAGGTTCCAAACCTATCAACTAGCCTATCACTAAGCTAGGAAAGTAAAGCACACACCAAGATTGCAATGTAAATGCGGAAGCTAAAGAGTAAGGTAGAGATATGCAAACTCCTGTCGACGACTCCGGTATTTTTACTAAGGTATCGAGAAGCGCCCAAGCTTCCCCCTAGTCCTCGTTGGAGCCCCTCGTAAGAAATCCCTCACAAGGGCCAAGCTCCCAGTCAGGTAACTCCGTGGATAGCCTCGGGCCTTTCCCATGCATAAGTGGCTCTCCGACGTGCCTTCCAGCAAGCCTCTCCCGAATGCTCCCCGCCGTCTTCACTATCAAGCTTCCGGCCAAAACGCCGCGGGCCTTATTCCCTTTGGTACACGGTGGCGGCCACACAACAAACGCAGTTGGTGTGATCTCGTAAGACTACAAGCCCCTCCGATATACAACAATGGTGCGCGCAAGCACCGAGTGATAAGAGGTGCGTAACCCTCACTAAACACTAGGCCTAAACCTAGAGTAAGCGCATAAGTGGTGGTCTAATCAACCTAAGCACTTCACAAAGCACCTACGCTAATCACCTAATGAATCACTAAGCACTATGCAAGTGGAGATCACTAAAATGATGTATCAACACCCTTGGTATGTTTTCTCAATTCTCCACCTCTCAACTGGCCAGTTGGAGGGTCTATTTATAAGCTCCATAGAGAAAGTAGCCGTTGGGGGCGAAACCCAGCTTTCTACTACTGATCGGACGCTATCGTTGTCCTGATCGGACGCATCTAGTCGTCCCGACCGTTGAACACGTGCATAGAGATCGGACGCACTACCGAGTCCGGTCATCATCTATCGGACGCGGTCGGTCGCATTTGCGCC